CCCAAAGCCCCAGTAGATAGTTGTCTGTCATAGCTGCACATCCTTCCAGTTGCTGTATGTGGGACGCGGCCTCAGCATGGCCAGAGAAGCGGTGGGTCGGTGCGATCCCGGGATCCGAACCCGGGCCGCCAGCAGCGGAGCACGCGCACTTAACCGCTAAGCCACGGGGCCGGCCCCCAGCTTTATTCTTGAACCCATAGGAAATGGGGAAAATTCAGTTCTAGTACAAAGAAGGCGCTGAATGTATATTTGTTGAATGGATGGGTGAATGAATGAGTCATTGTAGCATTGTCTTGGCTGGTCACCACCCTTTAGATTTCTCTGGTTGGCTCTTGATTATGCAGTTCAGGAGCCATTTCTTCTTAGAAGGGGGCTGCAGTTCCTCAGGACCCCAACCCTAGATCATCTGGGATGATTATCTGGGATTTTCTGTTTTCCGTTTAGGAGTGATTCCTCTGCTTTGATGGAGTTAGTCATGTATTAACTGCAGTGACTTTTCTTATAAGATCTCAAAATGTTGTTGTTGCTTTAAGATTATTTGTTCTTTAAAACACCTCTGTGAGGAAGATTCATTTTATTAGTTATTCTTATTTTACTGATGGATAAACTGATCCAAGATTGTAGGGTAAACTGTTGTTGGTGCACATATTAGAAACCACGTCCGTGACTCAATACCCTCAGTAGAGGAGTCATTAATGATTACAACTGCTTTTTTGGACGTCAGAACTTACAACTGATTCTTAAAAAGATCTGGCACATTCTCCCTCACTTTTTGTACCAGTTCAACTGCCCCAATCCATACTTTGGGGTTTTGTTTTACTTTGAAACCAATTTTTCAAAATTAGATTTTTTTTTTTTTGCTTTTCTTACAACTGTTTTTTTCCTGTTCTAAAACCGTTAGTGCTATGCATAGGTGTTGTCCCCTCCATGGAGAATCACTGCTAAAAACCAAACAGACAAATGACTATGAACTTCTTTCCTGTCTCTACTGGGGAAACCAGGAAAGGTAGTGGAAAGAGAACAGGCTTTGACTTATATGGGTTTGGGTTCATGTCCTGACACTCTTAGTGTCTCTGTTTCCTCATCTGTAAAGTGAGAAAATAATTTCTACCTCAGAAGGTTGTTGTAAATATTAACTGAGATTTCATATGGAAGTATCTCGTACAGTGTTTACATATAGTAGGTACTCAAGAAATGCTCTGGGTGAGGTGATGATGATAATTGATTCCATTTTATGCAGTGGTTTCCTAACTAATTTGAATGGCCAGTTTAAGGGATATACATCAAGCATTTAGAAGAGCAAGATGCTATTTTCATGGGCCCTGGAGAACAGACCTTTATCGGAATCAGCTAATATTGAAAACCCACACTTGCTGCTGGATAATGCACAGTGGATCCCATGCAGTACTTCCAGATGCATCTCTGAATAGCCTATTTGGTGTGTGTCGCCCCGTACCTCCTCCAGATTTAGTAAATGTCATTATAGAGTACTCTAAATCTCTTGTGAATTCAACGTGAACCACCACTCCCTTGACTAAATGCCTTCATTAATTCACTAGAAATTGGGAGACAGTGCTTACAAATGCTCAGCAGTTGACTTGCCTCTAAATTTGGTATTCAGCAGTGGTTCCATCCTGTAAGCACAAAGGGCCACATATGGAGTGGTAAGAAAACACCAAAATCCTGTCACATTGAAGCCAAGGGATTTTGGCCCTGAGAAAGCCAGGGCAAATCTCTTCTTCTTTGCATCCTCTCATAGGGAAGGTTTATTGATTTGATTGATTTGCTTATCTATAGTTAAATGCCCTCCTGTTTGTGTGAGCCTGGGAAAACACTCCACATGTGTTTGGGCAGTTTATTTAATGTCCATAGTAATCTTTTGTCCTTCCAATCACTGCCATTAACTGCTTTCTAACTAGGTAATAAGATAGTAATTCACTGATGCTTAGACTGCTCTCTGAGGTGGTATAGTATGTTTATTCTCTCAGAGAGGAAACTGACCCTGAGAAGTGAAGTGACTTTGCTTAGTTCACATAGCTAGCCATCCCAAGCTAAACAACATTGGAGCTTATGCCAGGGAGCTTGTAGCATCTCAATGGTCAACAGCTGTGTTTGTTTCGGAGTGACCTTTGACTGACAGTAGAAGTCAGACTCTTCTGCCCTAAGATGCAATCTGGGAGGGATCTACTTTGGTTAGTAGGACCAGGTTTGCCAGCTTCCTCTTTAGGTGGGCATTATATGACCGTGGAAAGTAGAATTGCTCAAAAGGTGTTTATCATTCACATGGATATTTCGCAATTAAACATTTGATGGCTTTTTATTGCATTTTATCTGTGATTCCCATGTGGCTTTTTTTCTGCAGAGATTCAGGAAAATCATACTTGAGTCAGTAAATTTTGCAGCACTTATGTAGGCTTTATGGTATAAGATGGCAACTAGAGTGAGACTTTTAGCCAAA